CGCGCCATCGAAGCTGGATTTGGACCTGAGGAGACACAGCGCAGGGACGCTGTAAGACGGGATGGTGTGTGCGCTACGTCATTCCTATTTTTAACCATCTGAATCATGATAGCAGAACCCAAGAAGACTGGGAGTTCATTGCTCTCTTCTGGACATCAAGGATCCTTCAAAATATTCTACTGGCAGTTCTCATAGTACATGTCTTAAGAGGCTGGGCTGATTGCAGCGGCCCGTCTCACACTGCAAAAAACGGCAAATTGTGGAGGGAGAAAGAAAATCTGAGTCGTGAAAGAAATTACATCATTTCAAAAGTATGTTAATCAGTGTAAAGAGGCGTCCTAGGCGCAAATTATGAAACAGAATTGCAGCTAGAGCTCCATCAAAGGCTAATTTTGTTTCAGAATCCTATTAATATTTAACAAGGATTAGTTTGAGTAGGCCATTGTGTTGAAATGCCTTGGGGCACACAAGGCAGTCTCTGTCCAAGGAGCCTGGGCACAAATCAAATGTTAAAATAAAATAATAAAAAAGGCATTGTGTACTTTAACAAACAGGGCAATCCTAGAAGTTCGGAGAAGACATGTAGACAGTAAGGCTAGCAGGAGGGCAAGGGAAGAGAATGGTCCATAGAACCACGCAGATTCATACCCCAGCCCTGACAGGATGAGCAGAAACGGGGTCAGAGGAAGAGAGAGGCACAAACATCCGCGACTCGGGAAATCGCAGACGAGCAACCAGGAGAGAAAGAACGCCTTTGGTGGTCGAGTCCTTGCTTGGTTTCCTGAGGGCAGCCGTCAGCCCTCCGGCATTTCCTACTACGGTTCATTCCCACTCTCCTCTCTTTTCGTAGCTGCATGAATGTACACAAATCATCATGCCTACAACGAAAAACATCAATTTCAAAGTGGAATGTATGTATGCTTTTTTAGAAGGATGTAGATCAACAACAAGTTTTATGACAGACCTCCGTGGTTGATTTCTCGTTTGCTGGGGCTGGGGCTGGGGTGGGAGTGGGGGGGTGCTGGCTCCCGGCAATGATTGCACAAGGAGACTTCTAAAATGAGGCTCGTGTAAGGGAACATTCGGTTCAGAGCAGATTTAAGAATATAAGATTTAAGAATTCAGGTGGTGTACAGGTGTGACGGAGGGGTAGATATACCTGAGAAACTGAAGGCTTGGGGTTTCTCGGCTGTGACAGGACAGCCATGAGTCTCCTAGACGCCTTCCAGCCCCACAGGTAAAATTCCTCGTCAGTTCAAGGTAAATGTTTTAGGATCTAGCTCTGGGCCATTGCATCTATCCACAGGTATCCATTCTTTCAGAACGCTAGGGCCTCACTTATTTTTTATTATTTTAAAGAAAATACGAGTGACGTTCGTCCCCTGCTTAAAAATCAAAGTGTCTTTACACATATCCAAGTATTTCTTTATACAATTTGCTGCTTGGAATTTAGCCCCAGTGCTGAGTCAAGTTACTGAATGCACACGGCAGGAATTCCTGGGCAAGTGGTCCCGCCTTGTGAAAAGCCACGGGCAGTTAGGTGGTGGAGCGGTCGTCCTTGTTGCCACCGAGCCTGTTCTGACCCACGACGGCCCTGTGTAGAAACAGAACAACCCACTTCTTGGCCTGCAACCTCCTCACAAGTTTTCTGATTTTGAGCCCATTGTTGCAGCCGCTGTCCATCCGTCCTGCTGAGGGGTCTTCCTCTCCCTCCCCGCCTCCCCTCTACTTTGTGAAGCACACTGTCCTTCTCCAGGGATTGCTCTCTCCTGACAACACGGCCAAACCGAAGTGTGGTGGATTTACTACGGGCAATTTCAAAAGCAGCGCGCTATCAGGGGCCTGCCTGCATAGCCCTGACCTCTGAGTGGGGCGCATATTCAGATAGCATTGATTTCTCTGTTTCCTCTGGGGTTCTCCTCACTTCCTACATGGGATGCAGGTACGGCAGGCTCCCTGGGAGCCCCTGGAAGGGCGTCCACAGAGCAGTTTCTGTTAACCAGGTCCTGTCCAGCTTCTTTCCTCAAGGATGGAAGACAGTGTGGTACAGAAAGGGAGGACAGGGGGCAGGGGCCACTTGCCCTCAGGTGCCCATTCAAGGGGACATCAGACTCGAATGAATTTTTAGGTGCCAAAAAAATGGAAGATGCCTGACCGAGGTAGCTAGAGGGGGATGGGGTGTTTAAAAAACTTTTTTTTTTTTTTAAATAGTTGAGTTGCCACTATCAATACCTATTCATCTTGAAATCAGGAGTGGGGGAAATGCCACTTGGAGATTGCCCTTGGGCTCTCA